GGCAAGGTGGTTTGAAGTTTAGGACTCACTAACCTGGTTTGGTATTAACTATGAATGAGTAAGACGGTTAGGAAATCAGCATCCAAGTGCAGAGAGGAGGCCTACTGTCCCACAGCAACATCTGGGTGAATTCAGTACGTGTGGAACACAAAGACAGGTGCTGGCCTGCACAGTGTGTGTGGATATAAAATAACTTCCTGCCTGCCTTCCAGAGACAAGGAAGAAACAACCATCTCTGAACTCCCTTAAGGACGGATGCAGTCAGATAAAAAACAGCAGCATCCCCAACTAGTATAAGTCCCACTGAAGTAAACTTCCTATTCACAAGGGAGAAATATTCCTGGTGGTAGTAAAAACAGTTTTGCTAGGTTTAATCACAAGTGCAAAGGAATTCCAGAATGCTCCCTTTGAGCCACATCAACCATTGCTAATTCAGAGTAGGCCTGGTAACAAGGGTAATACAAAACGTACTTAGTAACTGAGAAAGGGAAGCAGCAATTAAATACATTGGCAACCCAACATAGAAGACTTAACTATTAAGATAATAAAAAAAAGAAAGAAGGGGAAAATTAGAAGAAAATAGCACAGGAAGAGAAAATAATCCAAGCAGCCACACAGATTTACTTGGAACAGTTACTACTCTACACATAGAGAAATCACTGGGCATAAGCTGAATATAAAAAGTTGAGAAATCTGCTTGACAATGACTTCTTCAACAAAACAGCAAATAACTAAACAAAATAGTGAAGTGTTAAGCCAACGCAGCTCTCTTTGGCAAATAAAGGAACAAGAGAAAAGAAAGAAAGAGCTCAAAATCTGAAATAACTATCCAGTGATAGGCTGTTATTTAAAATCTTTGTAAATCTCTATTTAAATAACCACACTTATGCTGAAAAGTTAAAACTGGCAAGAATACCCCCAGTTTCCACACGTTAGAGGTGCAGTTTATGACACAATATTGAGGATAAAGTCAAATATACTGACCTGCTCACATCAGGAAACCTGACAGGAAAGTAAATAACTTGGCACTTGGGTCTGATGATGCTTTCCAGATCCTTAGGTCTGTGATCAGGAATCAGCTTCATAAACTTCCCAATGGAAGTGAGAAATGACTCCATATTAAAACTGGAGTTGAATACCACCACATCAGCCACCAGGCTGCGAAAGCAAAGGATAAATGCAAATGATGAGCCCAAACCCATGCGGAGTGATTTTTATCAACCTCGGACCTCTATGGATTAATCAGCGTACAGTGCACCTTAGGCTGGCAAAGAACTCTTCTCTTCCCAGGCAGTGTTCACGTCACTGCCTGGAACAGACAAGTTAAATGTAATACATACCAGTCTCCAGCTTACAATGGTGTGAGAGCAACACATAGTCAGTAGAAACCATACTTTGAATTGTGAATTTTGATTTTCCCAAGCTAGTGATACACAGTACACTCCTCTCTCATGGCGCTGGGCAGCCGCAGTAAGCTAAAGCTCCTAGTCAGCCACAGGATCACGGGGGTGAACAACTGATCTCCTCGTGCTGCCCGATGATTTTGCCCACCTGGAGGCTAACATAAGTGTCTTCAACATGTTTAAAATAGACTATGCTAACCTCTGAGATTAGGTAGGTGAGTTGTATTTAATGCATTTCGACTAAACATTTTCAACTTATGATGGGTTTGGCACTGTCAGATTTCAGCCCATCAGGACACAGGGATACAGTCAGGCACTGTCAGGATATAGCCCCATCATAAGTTGAGGAACATCTGTGTACAAGATTAGATAGAGAAAACAGTTAGTTTTATCTCACCCTAAAAATGATAGATCAATAACACTGAAAGAGAAGATACGTAAGTTCCGGAAGACTCCAAAATCCAATAGAATAAGTACAGATTATAGAATAGGAATATACTACAAGAAATCTTACAGTTTAAGTCCTATTTGCAGAGATAGCCAAATTTACTATTATAGTATTAATACACATCAAAATGAAAAACCAACAAAAGGAGCATTAATATGCCCCTCCTTGTCCAAATACAAGTATTTTCTTTATTTGCTACCTAGTGCAAATTTGGTGGGGATGGGGAGTGATTATAACGTGGATAATACAAAGGCAAGTCACAGAAGTGCTGACACAACACTAAGTGATAAGGAAGTCAATAATATACCGAAAGTTGAAGAATGTTTCACAGCTAAGTCTGTTTTCACCATATGTCACATATTGTAATAGCGACCCCCGGGTCATAATATACAGCTATGACATGTGTTCATAAGTCAGAGGGTTAGTGAAACCCTCTGTTTAAGGTGAGTGCTTATGTCAGTCATCTTTAAGTCCTTAAGTGCCACACGGTCAAGAAAGAAATCTAACAATGCCAAAAAAGCAGAAGTCAGCAAGAAAACTAAAGAAACATTTGAGGAAGCAGGAGTCATACTTTTCAAAGAGAATCTGAACAGGACTGTTTTCTGACACTCTTATTTTTCCTTTGGACAACTGTGAACCACTTTTTCCCCATTAAGAAGCCAACGGATGATGAAGTCCACTTCTCTCTCTCTAAGCCTGTCTATACGTTTATCCTCTGGAGAGGAGCAACGCTGAAAATCATGTGCAAGCTTTTATATTCTCATTCCCTGAGGAAAATTGATCTTTTATGAAAGACAGTGTTAAAACTTTTCAGATATCTACCCTACAGTGCATGTGACCCAACTACATACATTCTTAAACATCCAGTCTGTGCTGGATTATAGATCCAAGATAGTTTTAGAGAAATGTTTTTTGGTGCTTTTCCTCCCTCATATAAGTGGGTATAATTTCCACTAACTTTAAAGCCATCCATAAAAGGAAAAATAGGCTTAATTTTTTTTCCCAGTGATTTCTCAGGGGTAATAAACATACTATCTAAGGAAAAGAATGTTGTTGATTCAAGAAATCAAAAGAATATTACAAATGTTTTCCATATTGATAAAGCACAAAATGATTTTATTTTCATTTTAAAAACATATTTCCCTTCTCTGTTTCAATATAAAATAAAGTATCTTAATTTTATTGTGAAATTTTAAAACGGTTGCTTTTTTATGAGACATTTGATGTGAAGCAGTTCCAGTCTATTTTGATAGCACTGTTACTTCACAATTGAAGCGGCTTGTAAAAATGATTGTAGGAAAACATTTTTAAAAATGCTCAAAACACAGAATTATTATTATATAGCTGCTTTTCTGTGTCAGCTAAACTGTGGAAGAGTTACTAGGAACATCCCAGGAAGAGCTAGGGGTCTGTCTAAATGTATTCGATTGCTGGTAACTGTTAACAAAGGTGAGTAAAATGCACCAAATCATTGCCAAACAGATTCCATTTGACTATTAACAGCTACGTGACTAGGATCCATAGTAAAGCCATTTCAGAGTTGCTATTAACTTCTTTCATTAACTAAATTTCAAGAGATACACTTTGTTGAAGTGACAATGGAAAAGGACCATCACCTTTGAAATGTCATGGTATTTTAAAGCTGTGCCATTTGAAAAGATGCAATCAGAGAAAAAAAAAAAAAACCAAAGATACATTTTCCATAGCTTTCTCTATCTTACAAACAACCAAAAAAAAAAAAAAAAGTGAGAGAGAGAAAACCTCTTATTCCATTAGACTTTAATTTTTGTCTATTTCTCTGTAAATTTCTTTTTTGACTTTAGCTGAGTACAGCGTGATAGAGCTTTGTAAGTAAGAGTTGACTAACTGCTCTTTCTGAAAGTACGCCTAATAAACAATAGATCATGGAATCAAAGGGTGAAGGTCCCTGCCAACCCTTCAATTCTATTTTGAATGTTGTGAAAAATATAGCTGGATAATTAGTTCAACATATAATTATCAATAGACTGTTACAGACATGTATGTTATAAAAGGGTTAGCTGTGTATATATTGCAGACACACAAGTAATTACCATGGTGGAAGATGTGTTTTAATATTTGAACCTACCTTCAGGTGTTTTTTTAAGTATACAGTAGGTCTCCAGGTTTAAAAACTAACTATTGCTAAAGAAAAAGGTGGCAAAGGTCCAATATAATGATACAATCTATACCTACCAGGACAGAATTTGATTGTATCCATATTGGAAATCCCTCTCCTGACATTTCTTGACAGGATATACCAATTGGTTCTCGTGGAAGTACAGAATCTTTTTCAATTTCCCAAGGTCAGGCCGAAGGGCAGCCAGTTCGGTCAGGTTAAGCACTGAGCTTGCAAAGAGGATCCTAGGAAACAAAGAGATTAGGGTTTACTGTCCCAGGAATGCTGGACAGGGTCATCCTTTGCTCTTCTTCGCTCCACTTTCCTCTTCCCACCCCAAGAAAAACATATCCCCTATAGGGACACATCAATAGTTGAGCCTTAATACCATGTAGCAGCATTCTAAGTTTTGATCTCTTAAAAAGCAGCTGCTTAGAACTATAAAAGCCCTGAATCTCATTGGTCTTCTCAGCTGAGTTACTGAGAAATGCAAAAGAAAAAAAAAAAAAAAAAAAAAAAAAAAAGCTGGATGGATTTTATTGAAAAAGGCAAGAAAAGCTCTGTCTGAAGGACAAATGGAACAAAGATAAGGCTGACTGGGGAATACTTTGCTTGCCAGTTTCATTACACTTTACTTCTTTATGCAACCAACTACTGAAATTCAATATATGAGCAGCAATGGCACATGTTCATGTTATGACATAAACTCTTTTGATTTATGCAATAGACATATCTAGTGTGGTCTTTTTCTCTTGGCATGTTTTCTCACCCTCCCCCCACTTTTAAAGTACCCTGTACTACTTGTATATATTTTTTAATCTTTTCTTCTCCATTCCTGACTGCTAATGGCACCAAACACACAATCTGTAAAATCCCTTGCATAAAGTACATATATAAAAAATTAATAAAAAGCTGATTCCTTGTCTTCAGAGGGGAAAAAAGAAACTGAAACTTTACCTATCCACTTTTATAAATGAAAAGAAGTGATTATTTGCTCTTTCATTCTACAAATATTTACTAAAATCCTACTATGCACCAGTGTCTAATCAGGAAGACCAGAAAGGCAGCCCAGTTGGATAAACGCTGCCTATACCAGAGACACATACAAAGTACTAGCTAGAGGAACAAACAGAGTAATTGTCTTGGACAACCTGAAAAATGCTTCCTCGTCAAGGTGCTTACTACATATGGGTACAAAATAGAGATGAAGTGTAATCTCTGAGCAGCTGAGAACATTTAGATGGCATAATTTTGATAGAACATCAACTTTATAACATAATATATACACATAGCATCATTTGACCTTTATCGCTTTAATTCCCATTCTAAAATATGAAGTTCAAGAAGGTTAAGAGTTTTTTTCAAGGATCACACCGGTAGAAAGTGGCAGACTGCTGATCTTCTAAGCTCAAAGTGCTTTTCATTATACCACAGATATGAATTGGTTGTAGACCACTTACACTGCAAATGCATTTTTCTGTACTTAAATACAAAATACCATCCTTGTTATTACCATGATTACAGCTACTGTAAATCCTCCCTTGCTGACAAGCCAAATGGCTAACTTCAGGTGTTTATATGATCTGCAGCACTAGCCTTTCATGTAAGAAGAATGATAACATAATAAGTACATATATCATAAATAGGAATTCAAGTGTCCTCTTCATGGGCTAAAAGAGGCACACAAGACCAAAAGGCAGCAGTCCTTCTGTAAACCCACAGGGCCATATTAATGTTATGTCTTATCTCTGTAAAGTCACAAAAACTTATCAAAGAAATGTATTTATTGTTAAAAGTATCTATCTAGACTCAAATAATACACGGAGAAAATTTATGTTCAGATAATGCTCTATTTTGTACAAAGATGTGTGGTCCCCACCCCTGGACCACAGATCTGGGCCACAAACCTATAGTGTTGTGTGGCCTGTTCGGAACCTTGCACACAGCATTACTGCCTGAGCCCTGCCTCCTGTCTGCCCCCGTCCATGGAAAAACTGCCTTTTATGAAACCAGTTCTTGATGTTGATGTCGAAGCTTCTGGTCGGTGATGTTAGGAACCGGACTGCACAGCAGGAGGTGAGCCCGTGAAGCTTCATCTTTCTTTATAGCTGCTTCCCACTGCTGGCATCACCAGCAGAGTTCTGCCTCCCATCAGATCCTGCCACCCTCACCCCACCACCCCCTCCTCTATCTGTGGAAAATTTGTCTTACATGGAACTGGTCCCTGGTGCCAAAAAGGTTGGGGACTACTGCAAAGATATCCTCAGCCAATACTACCACGTATATGCTTTTCTACAATTATACTGAATATTCTAAAATATGAAGCTATTTGGTTACCTACAAATCTGATCCTTAGCAGAGAAAACAACAAAATATTACTTTCAGTCAATCAATATTTTCCTTAAAAGAGAATGAATGGAAAATCTGTAGGTCTAGTTATTGAGTAATACTCCCTCCTCTCCTTCTATTCTCTCCACCTCACCCCATTTCAATCGCACATGATAACAAGCCATGATTTTCATTCTTAATCTTTAAGACCTCCTCACACACACAGCACAAAAATGCATTAAATGCAGTTCTCATATGATTTATTAATTACAAAGAAAATATCACGCATAAAGGTAAAGAATGGAGAAATCTGGTTAAAACTCACTTAACCAAGTGATCAAAGTTAATACATGCCCGATAATCAGACAAGTGATATCATGTACTTCCAAATATGATGCCCTGAGAAATATACGAATCACCAGTATAATAAACCAGCCTAAAACGCCTCATCTGAATTTAGTAATGAAGAAATAATCAGACAAACAGTCTGCAAAATAACTGGCTTGGAGCTCCAAAAAGGTCACTGTTTTAAAAGGAAAAAAAAAATCTACGTTAAAAGAAAATAAAGAGACACCAAAACAAAAATGTTTTAGTGATCCTTGATTGGATACGGGAAAGGTAAAAACAGATACAAAGGACATTATTAAAACAACAGGGAAAATCTGGATATGGGCCAAATATTAGATTATAAACTTTTGTTAACCTTGAATTTGTTAAGTATAATTCTATTACAATTACATAGGGCAATAGTCTTAGGAGATTCACGTCAATTATTTACATGTAAAGTATCATAATGTCTGCAACTAATTAATAAATGGTTCAGTGAAAATGCTACTAAGAGCAATAAATAATAATATGTATATAATTACATGGAAGAGAAATAAAAATATGCCAAAACATTAACAATTAAGTAAATGGTATATAATAATTCATTGCTCTATTGAATATTTTTGGTAAGTTGTACATCTATAAACCTCAGATTTGGAGGGATATGCATTAAATGGGAGTAAGCAGAAGGAAAAAAAGTCTACCTTCCACAAACAATAAGTATTTCTAGCCATGATCCAACTGTCAATTTGCTACATGAGGGTCATCCTCAGGGTATGTTTAACCAAGGTGAGTCCTTCACTCTACCGGTGCCACATGTTCCTTCTCCTTATTCTAACCACCAGCTCATCCACAATCAAAGAATTCAGATCTCAGATACAGCTCATCCACAATCAAGGAATCCAAACCTTCTTTCTTTCAAAGAACACATCCCAAATAAAAGAATGCAGAACATTCAGAAGAGAAATGAAGAGATTTTCCTAATGTTAAGCATTTGAGACTGCCTACACCAAAACCTCCTTCAGCTTGTTTAATCATTAAGAGGCAATTCACTATGTTTTTATAATTATAGCTAATTTAAAAATAGCTCTCACTACTTCTAAATGGTGGAAATTATCTCCAGCATTCCTCCTTGCTTTTTCACTTGTAAAATGGTAGTTCAACTGGAAAACAAGCAGTTCTTCAAATATTTAGCTCAATAACACCCCAAAAGAAGTGGTGAATTTGCTCACAAAAGGAATACAAGGTATGATCCACAGGCAATTTTTACTTTGGCCCTACCATTCATTTTAAGAATTGGATGATAATACAATGAATGGCACCACTCACTCAGCAGCTAATCCCTAGGCTGCCAACGTACGCTCCTCTCGCCTCCGGTGTTGTTTAAGCAATAAAGCCTAACAAGGTGCACTTCATCACCCCACAGTGTGTCCCTGGCAGGAAAGGGCACAAGGTGATAGCAAAAGCCACTAGGAACAAGATAATTCCTGACAGCTGCTCCTTGAGCACAAGTTAAATTGAACAGTTTATCTCAGCATGAAGATGTTATAAGGTTTTATGTTTAATATTTTTAAATTAACATAAAACCCAGAGAAAGCAGTTGGGCAATCTTTGACAAACACGACATACTACAATCACTGTGTAAGCTGGATTAGTACTTATTACCATGCTACTACAGAATTAAGCTGTTTTTAGACCACCAAAGAGCTTTAAATTGCAACTTTTGTCTCTGTAAGAGAAACCTATATTTAAAATGTCTGCTAAATTCGAATTAACGGCTACATCATTAGCTCACCATTTCACCAAAAGTACAAGGAAGCTGCTATTATAACCGTCTAACCAAACTGGCTCTGTGCTGCTGCTCTGTACAGAGCGGTGTCTTTGGGACAGGGACCACAGACGCGTCTCTATTATTTCTGACACACATTGTATCTATAACTTCAGTCACATTTGCTCAAAACTCAAAACTACTTAACACAATGAAATTTGAGATTAGAGATTTTATTCTTTTCTGCTCATTTTTACTAAACCAGCTGATTGCCTTTTAGCCTATTTACTTAATATGTAAAAGAAATGCTGAAATATACCTAAGCACTGTAGGGGTGTGACCATTATCATCAAGATGCGTATTTTTTTATATCTTCAATGATATGGAAGGGCAGTGAAATGGGGAAGAAAAGACAGGCATTCAATATTTCAGCCACTACCCATACAATCTAGTAATAATCCTTCATAGGCTAGGTTATCTCACGTAAAATCTTTTCAATAGGTCCCCCTCTCTCCAGAACCATTTATCACTGCGTACCCAAGACAGAGTACACAATTTAACATAGATACCAGTTTGGGCTAAGTCACTACTCACACTGAAATACTTTCCTGTATGGCTTTAGGAAGTCTTTGACAAAAGAGTAAATTCTTCCAGCTGCGTCACTTTGCTCACGATCTGGAATTCCTGGTCTAGATTATGTTGTTCGGCCTTATTACCTAAGTCTAGGTTCTCTTGTTCCCGCTCATGGGTTCCTGTTCCTTGATGTCTCCTCTCCAGGAGCCCAGACCCTGCCTTTCTGTGATGACAGAAATGTTCTGTGTC